GAGATCAAATACACAGCCCTCTCTTCAGAAGCCTCAGCCTCCAAACCCGGATACCCGCCTTCTCTTCAGCCAGGCGATCAGATAATCTTTTCACAATGCAGTGACTTTGTCAGAGGCAAAGAGCCTCTCTTTTCCTTTTCCAGATTCTCTTAGGAAACTACTTGAGAAATTTTCAAATTATCAGGCCTTTTCATGGGATCAACTGAGATAGCTGGAGTGAGCTGCTAAGAATTAGCAGCTGAATGCCAATTTTAATACAGGAATCCATCAATCAATGTATCGCTATTAGTGACATACAGTAATCTCAGCTAGTAGAGAGAAAAATTGCTTTTATTGCATCTTTTTTCTTAACTACTATACTACTATTTCCAAGACTTGTTAGAAAAAAATTCTGCTTTTCTAGAAGTCTGCATAATAGATCAGTCCAGATACTGGACGTCTGGATTTAGGACTTTGCAAGGTACATCTTTACATGCATTCCATGACCATGACTATAATACACAATTTAATAAATTATATGATAGTGCAAAAAATAATCCAATTTTTCAATTGCAATTCTAATAAAAATATACAACTTTGCAAGTAAACTAATTTTTTTTTCATGTTTATTAAAAGTTTGTTTTTTTATTTAAACTTATAACAAATAAATTCTAGTAGAATTAGCAGTTTGCAATAAGCTATCAGAAATTGCCTTTAATTCACAATGATAGCCACGAGGATCAATATCAAAGCATTAACTTTTGTGGTATTTGACTATGGATTGAGAGTTTTAGATGACAGTAGTAAAATCAAAATAACATGCAGCTATAACATTAAAAACTAATAAAACATGAGGTTAATTTAATTTTTTTGGACATCCTCCAGCTAGTAAATAAATTGATGCAAAAATTAAAGAAAATGAAAGATTGACTACTGGATGAAATAATAAAACTTAAAAAATTATTTTCTGTATTTAATGAAAATAAATTAATAAATGATTCCATGAAATGAGAAATATACCCATTTATGAGGAAAATATGAATTTCTTCAAAAATTCATAAAATTAAGATTCCATTAAGATGTAAGTTACACACATTCTTATTGTGCCCTTCCCCGCTATTTAAATACTTAGATCATATTTCATCCATATTATCAACAACTTTATAAGAATTATAAAATACAACAAGAAAAAATAGAAAAGACATCATTACATCAATAAGAAGAATTTTTGAAGTTATATCTTAAAATTTTAAGTGGAAGACAGGTCACTATTGAGGTCATCTAATGCTAATAACCTTCTTCATTATTTTCTGTGTAATGTGCATAGAAAGGCATACTATAATTCTGAGAAAATATTACGAAACAGAAAACTTATGTCTTGTTATCATTCAATTTTGCTTGTTATAATTAAAATATTTCAAGACAAATGTTTATTATATATGTAATAAACTTAATGTCCTGTTAAAATTTTTTAGCAAGACATAACTCCATTAATTATGTCCAGTTAAGAAATTATATTTCATAAATTTTCTTATTACTTAACAATATTTATGCAGATTATTCTTAAAAAAAGTTAATTGAGACCTTTTCAAATTCTGTTTGTAAAGACTAAATTTTGGAAACTATTAAATAAATTATTAAAAAAATAAAATTTTCTAAATTCATTGCAGTTAATAACAAAGAATCAAAAATGACTAATTTCCTCAAAATATATTTTATTAATAATTTTATTAACTGTTGATTAACATTCAGCATCAACTATTAACATAATCATTATTTGATTTTACTTGCCAATACAAATATTAATTTTAATTCATTTTATGCAAAATTAATTTTAAATAATTAAAATTATGTAAGTAGATCACTCAAATGTTCATTAAAAACAATCCTTTAAATAATCATTATCAATAGTAATATTTCTTCTATGTTATATTATATGTGTGTTATCCATTAAAAAATTAAAAAAAACCACACTTAAATAATACCTCATGCTTTATATTCAGCATGAGGTTTATCTTTTCTCCAATGTAAACTGTAAGCAAAAATCTCGAGAGCTCTAATGCAAAAGAAAGCAGAAACAATGTGAATGAAAAGAAAAATATATATTACTTTAAATAATTTAACTAATTGTTTTATTTTTTAAGCATGAGTTCTTTCTGAAAATCCAACAGCCAAGCATGGGAAATATTCTTGAAAGTATCATCAATACTCAGAGCATTCCACTGCAATTAGGGAGTGGACAAGGGCTAATATTAGAAAGGGAGCATGTGATGACTTATTTCCGACCTCGGACTTGGGACACAATGTTCACTCCTACTTCCATGGCTTAAATATGTTAGAACAAGTTTTAAAAAGTCTCGTCTGAAAAACATTACTTGTGCAACTATACAGGTAGAACTCTTTATGAAATAAAGTACAGATAATTAATTAGCATACTTTAAACTATATCAAGGACAGCCAAAATACTCTCCCATTACACATAAAAAAGAATGCAAAGTTCATAACACAGCAAGTATATATGAGAAAAGAATGGTCAGTGGCTTCACTGGCACATGATAATGCACTTGTCAGCAAATAAATTCCAAGCTAAATTATTTTTAATAATTTGATAAAAGGACTAAATAGCTCATCAGATTTTCTATGTATTTTCTATGCTAAATTGCTTTTTTTAAGAACTTCAGATTTAGAAATTCTATAAATATTGGAAAATTTCCTACAATATAGAATATGCACCTGAAAATAATACGATGGGTAAAGATTCGTAGAAAGAAGATATCCTTTTAACATTTGAAGAGTTTGTGAGGAGCAAAAAGTAAAACAGACTCTGCCCTGTATGTATACATTTCTTTGTTTTTGATGAAATGAGATTACATTTTTAGTGTGTTCCTTCTGAAAGAATATTTACATAAGCACTACGTCTACTAAAAAGTCAAACAAGAACATTTTAAAATTACTTTTTTTTCAGGTGATGTTGATAGTTTAAAAAATCAATCACTCCTCCCCCCCAAAAAAAAAACGGAACCAATGAATCAAATCCAGCATTTTGATTTTCTTCCTTATGTTCTTTAAAGATTCCATTTTTTCTTAAAATTTTAAACATGTTGATATATTTTTTTGTTCATAATGTTTAAATATTTCAGCAAATGATTACAATAATTATGAAATCAAACACCTATCTTTAATATAATAAAAATAAGTTACTATAGTTACTATAAATATCTCAGCAATACCACTTTAACTTTCTATCATAAAGAATATTACATCTAATCTTACTGCTTATATGCAGATTATTTTAATGAACTAAATGCTAAGCTAACATGTTTTTAATTTTCTAATGAGAACTGGTGATAGAGTGAAATGCCAACACATCAGTTACACTCAAATAATAAGGTGTAGTTCCGTAAGCACAAGAATAACTAAGACCACTTGATAAGATATTGAATTGGTGAGGTTTCAAAGGACTGTTATGAAGATATATCCAGTGAGGAGCAAACTGTAACTGACTGCAACATAGCATATTTCATTAGCTATCATTAGAAAGTATTTAAGGAGATCTGCATAACATTTCATAAGTGTTCACAGAGTTTTAGATATAGCAAGTACTAAAGTCTGTTCTATACAAATTTCAGAATGATACGCCTTTGTTTCTGTAAATATAAATAATAGGCATGGCATTCATAAGGAAGTACAAAGAACCTGCAATGAGATTTCTGCAAGTTGTTCCAGTTAAGACATACTCTAATGCGCTAGTTAAAATATACACCCCAAGCCATGACAAAGTCATAAGAAACTTATACAAAAAACAGACTGGTAGGGCAGAAAGATAAGTACAGTCAAAAGTCGTTAATTCGGACACCCATAATCCGGAATGATCTATAATCTGGACCTCAAAGCTACAAACTTTCTGCACGTGCGAAACGTAGGCGTTTATGCGTGCGCGCAAGACCTTTACGGCTGCGAATATGCGTGGCAATGAATTGGAAGTTGATCTGTCAGCATTATCCGTTTCAGGGCAGATGTTTTTATTTTATTTGGCTTATAATTCCTTACTAAATGTAGTATTTCATCTCGATGTACTCCATCTTTGACATGATTTAAATCAAGTTCCTCGTCATTATAATTCGCTTCCGATAGTGAAGAAAGTGACACAGAGGTTATTGAAAACGGAAAATTTCGATTGACAAATTAGTCGGTATTCTTGACACAGCAATTATAGGACTTGAACAACAGAACTTTGTAACTAAACAAGAAATTATGTCTGTTTAATAGAATTTAAGAGAAAGTATTATCACATGAAACGAAGCAACTTACATTGAAAGAAATGTTTAATAAAGTAAAAAAATAAATATTAAGCTTTTTCTTTTTGTAAATTTTGATACCCTTTAGATCATAATTGTTCTTTACTTCATAAATTACAGTTTCATATTTTTAATTTTGTAATTTCTGCATGCCATCTTACCAGATTTAAACTGATGATCTATAATCCGGAATCGCCGAAGTTCCAACGAGTCCGGATTAACGACTTTTTACTGTATGTTATTTCCTCTAAACACATTCTTTAACTTGAAACATGTTTTATCTGACAAGATATAATGACACAGCTATAATGATATAATGATCCATAATATAATGACACAGCTCTCTGTTCTACAGGAGATGGATTGCCTAAACAAGTGTTACCCATTTAAGCTGAAGATCAGCAAACTCTACGAAATGCATTGCAGCCAGCTTAGCCTATTGATTGACGGCTTGAGCAGCACCAATATTGAAACAGAATGTAATCTGGAACAATGCTGCCTTCCTTCTTTGTGTGACTACCATTAATCTATGACAGTCTCATTCCTGTAGTTCTAGTAGACTCACCTTCTGTATTCACCGCCAATGTTTATCTTGAACTGACAGGTTAAATGATGAGAAATAATACACACAGCATACCAAACTACATATGATTAATACCTCAGTTGTTACATTTATCCATCATTCATATGCAGATATTTACACATTGAAAAGGAGAGAAGAAGTAGAGAGTATAATTGTACCTCATGTTTTGGCACTTCAGTTTAATTATTTTACATTTAGATGTTACACTGATAACTGAGAATGATGTAGCATGTACATAACTGAGGACTGGAACTTTTGTACTTTTCACGGGAAACAATTCATGGCTCTTCATATTTTATGCTTATGGAAAATCACGCATCTTCAATTAACTGACATTTAACAAAATATATATTAGTTTTCAAAAGGGGAAAAATATATATTGGCAGAAATATTCTGCTACAATCATCTTCACATAAAATGAACTTATTTAAACAAAATTATCTATTTAAATGTTCTCAACAAATTAAGCAAAATTTTAAAAAAGTTACAATATATTACACTATAAACTGCGTTAACAACCATGTAAAAATATACAAGGCTTTTAATCACAGAAGTTCAAAAATGTAGTCCAACTGCACCTACAGTTTTGATTTTTCAGGAATATTAAAAAATGGTGATGGTATATGGATATATGGAGGCACTAATGGATATAAGCCCAAACTATTTTTGAAAGCTATCACATTGCCTATTTTCACAGGTGGCTGAAAGTAAAAAAAAATACATGTAAACTCACAAAATAATAGTACAATATAGTAAAAACAAATTTACAGAATAAAATCTTTAAGACATTCAAGTACAATATAAAAGTATTTAAAAACCATCAAAAATATATTTTACCCAGCAAAATTTTTAAATTTATAAATTATCACAAAAAGTCATGTAATTTAACTACTATTTATTTAGATCTTTAACAATATATGCAATAATTTGAATTTCAGAAGCTACACATATACAAGGCACTGTATGGGAAAAGAGCAAACATAAATCTCATAAAAATAAAACTACTACAGTCATCTGCACTCATCACTAATACTTGTGAATACAGATGGGAGTTTCACTAACTTTTTTACCTCTGCAAGATTTGAAGTTTAATTCCTCAAATCTAGCTTATAAGTCATGTATCGCCAAAACGCTTATCTTGACTTACACACAGGCATTAAAAATTCTATTTTAAAATACAGTTTAAATTAGGAAGATGGGGAGAAAGATATGCCCAATCGTAAGATCAATACTCTGAGCAGAAAATATTAAATAATTTCATGCCTGATAATGAATACACCCTGCCTAGAGGAAAGATGAATATATTTGTTTTTTTGGTCTGAATATTCCTGGTTAACACGTTGACTGTCATGCGCATTTTATGTGGTTTGTCCATGGTGTCAACATAATTTTTTTATTATTCGATGTATATTATGCTGAAATATTACATATAGAAGATAGGGTGAGTTATGTAATTGTGTTTAATGCATTTTTTCGTGGTGTGGGTCACCGCTCAACCCCGAGGCGCTGCAGACCATTTTTGTGATTTATTATTTAAATTTTTGCTATCTATTACTCTTCAAACCATTATAGTAATAAGGTTCACATTGAGCTTAATTAATTTTATCTCAATAAATATATATTGTACATTTCATTTTTTGAAAATCAAACTTAATTTGCTTTATTTTAGGAAAATAAAAATATAACATTATACTTAGTTTTAGGGGCACTACAAATAAAAATCAACTTTAATTGCTTTGTTCTAATTGAAATAAAAATGGTTCATGTGCTCTCTATATAAGATAATTTTAGAGTTTAATTTTGTTGTAAAGTGTTAGCTACATACAAGATTATTAGGGAAGAATCATCCAAAAACAAAATTTAATATTTTCCATACTTACAAACAGAAAATTATAAATAGTATATCACCGTAAAGAAAAAATGTAAACATTTTCTTTCCACAAGTGTTCGATATGACTTTAGTCACTAGTCTAATATCAATGCACTATGCCATTTCTTCTCACACTCATTGTGATGTTTCACTATTAACTGTTTGTAAAGCATCACAAATGCATTGTTCAAGTTTGGGCAAAGGTTGTATAAACACAAGACCTTTGACATATCCCCTAAAGGATTCAGTCAGGTGACCTAAGAAGTGTAAGCACGATTGTAAATTATTTAATTGTTATTCGACAAAATATCTATTGAGAAATGGCAACAGCTAATTTCTGGATGTTGTTCTATTTATAATTTTAAAAATGTACACTGAGATGATATACACTTGAAAATGTTTAATGGTACATTGCAGTAAGTACGTTTGTCATGTTATGTACGTTTACGAATACGTTAGGTGTAAGGTTATTAAGATTTATCTTTAGATAAATGTTCGTTTGTCTTTTACAACCATTTTATGAGTGATTAATTTAACTACAAAAAAGAAGTTAACATAAATCAGAAGCGGGATTATTCTGAAACCTAAGTTTAAAGCTACAAGAATTTGCTATACGTAAATAAATTTAAACGAATTTGAATTTCAAGGTATGTGCATTGATTGGTGTAACATATTTATAGAATTTAATTTTGTTATTTTTTTTTATCATTTTGGAAAGAGAATTATTTTTTTTCATTTCTTTAAATTTTGAAATATATTTAGAACGTCAAACAAACTTATAAAATACCAATAACTGTGTTCTACTAAGCTGTCTAACTGAAAGTTAATAATAATAGCATATATATATAATTTGCATTTTAATGAGTACGAAAATGTCTATTTTCGGTAAGGCAAAGAAATGCGATTTAAGAATATTAGCTGAAGAATTGGGAGAAGATGTAAATGAGAGTCATAAAATGAGCGATTTGAAAAAGATAATTTTGGCTAGCAAAAGAGTACGATGAAGAATGTGCCCCAAAGAATGTTGAACATTATAAAATGAAAGAAAAGAAAAAAAGAAGAAATGAAGACGTAAGCGTAAAGAAGAAATTGAAGAACGTAGGCGAAAAGAAGAAATTGAAGAACGAAAACGTCAAGAAGAAATTGAAGAACGTAGGCGAAAAGAAGAATATGAGGAAAGAAAACGAAAGTATGAAATGGAATTTGAACTGCAAAAACTACGTATTGAAGCAGAAAGTAGATCTACAAATTCTGGCACCAATGAAAATGCTAGTCGTACGCACATGAATCCAAAGTTAGAGCTTCATCGTTTGATGCAAAAATTTAAACCTGATGAGAATGATATCAGTTTATATTTAATCATGTTTGAACGTTTGGCTAAACAAGTTGAATACCAGAAAATGCATGGGTTACTCATTTGTTTGGCTTATTGCCGTATGATATTGCTCAGTTAATTGCCAGAGAAACTGATGAGATTGCAAACGATTATACAGAAGTTAAAAGGATCTTATTAAAACGATACAAGATGACACCTGAAAATTTTTGCCAAAAATTTTTTACGCACAATAAGAGTGTAGGAAACACATGGAAGAATTTTGCGTATGAGTGAAGAAATTTTTTTAATGAATGGATAAGCAGAATTAAAGTACATACTTTTGAGAAACTTAGCGACCTTATTGTAGCGGATCAGATAAAGCGTAAAGTGTCTCCAGAAGTAAAAGATCATTTTATTGACATCTGGTTCTGAGTTGATTTCACCAATTGATTTAGTTGAAAAACTAGATGATTATGATACCTTGAAGGTCAACTTTCAACAATAAACAACCGCGTAAAGAAGGGTCCTACGATAAACGAAACTCCTTTAAAGATGGTCCAGTTGCTACAATCAACGAAAAGAAAAAACTCTATGGTATCACACATAATGAAAAAGGTGAACCAAAATGCTTCAGCTGTAATAATTTTGGACACATCTCAAGGGACTATCCGCTGCCCAAACATGCCGAAAATGTAATAAAACAGGTCATAAAGCTAAAAATTGTGTTACTAAACCTGAAAATAATCATTCAAATGATAAAAGTTATTCTGTTGAGCAAGCTGGCGAAAATATAGAAGAGAGCAATTCATATTTGAAGAAAGCAAAACTGAATAATTCTAAAGAAGTACAGGCTTTATTGATATGGGGAGTTCTTGTTGTCTCTTAAGGACTTCAGTTGCTCAGAAACTTAAAGTGAAACCAGAACCTGCTATGAATGAATTGTATGTTTTGGAAATCAAAGGGTGCCTGCAGTGATCTCTATAGGAATGATTAAAGCCGATACTGAAGTTGATAATGTAAAAGGCCAAGGCATAAGTATATACCTTGTACCTGATAATGCACAGCCAGTGGATCTGATCATCGGACGAACATGGCTTGATCTCCCTCGCCTCGCTTATGTCAGAATAGGAAAAAGATTTCACTTCGGGTATAGAGAAGATGAAATATTAGTAACCCTCCAAATTGATGAAAAATAAAGAGTCTGCCTTAAAGCTCTTGAGGAAAATGAATTAGAGAAAATACAATCAGTCTTGTCAGTTCTCAAACAGATTCTGTAGATAATGGATTACTATGATAGAAAATCCTTCCGAAGGTATAGCTGTTTATTAGAAATTACAAATGGCGAAACTTGTATACCAATGATTAACGTTGGCGATAGAAGTGTTAGGCTCCAAAAAGATCAGTGCATTGGGAGAGCAGAAGTTAAACTGTGTTTAAATACGGAAATTTCTGAATTGAGCTCGAACTTAGAGCAAAAACGGAAAATATTAACAACATAAAAGTTCCTATAAGTTTAAGCGAAGTTAAAATTGCCTCGGATCTCGACATTGATCACAAGTAAGAGTTATTGCGTCTTGCGAATGAATACAGAGATTGCTTCGCACTTAAATATTTCAGAACTCGAGTGCCCTGATCTCATAAAAATGGACACTAAAGAAGATATATTCGTTCACCTAACTGCAATAAAGAAAAACAATACAAAAAGTGCTGTTCTAAGTGTAGGAGATAGTGAATTAGGTGCATTTGAAGTTGTTCGAGAGAAGGGGAATGAAGTTGCAAATCTGATTAGACTGAATGGCACTTCGTGAAAAATAGTCCCTTATGCTGCAAATAGAAATCGATACTGTGGCCAACTGTTCTCTAAACACCATTTCATGCAAGGCAAAAGAATGACGAAAGTGATTCTGTCTTTAGTCAGAACCAAGAGAATGTAGATGATAAGCAGCAACTACAACCTCAAAGGCCCGTACGAGGGCAATTACATTATCCTTACTTCAGGCAATATTGTGGTTATCTATCCATAGCACACGAAACTTTGAACGTGGTGGAAGTGAAGATGGACAAAATGAAAGAAAAAACGAAGAAATGAAAGAAAGAGTTTCAGGAGGTGGAATCACTGGAATCCTAGACGATTTTATCAAAAGTGCTTTAAAAGCGAAATCCACTATCATAGGAATGACACTGAAGCAGTCAAAGTAGAATGGAAGGAGAAGCAACTAGTAAAGATACTGAAGAAAATAACGAAGAACAGCAGCCCCGCGGTCAAGCATCTAGATCTTGTCCACTTTACAGATCGAAAATGGGTAGTCGAAAGCCCCACCAAGCTGATTCACGTGCTAAAAACAGATCTTCGGAGGCCATCATTTCCAGAAATACAGAAGATGATGATAATGACAAGGTTGACGGCGAACTTAAAAGGCCCAAGCGAATCGTGCGCAAACCATTGTGCTATAGAGACTTTGTATAGGACTTATAGAATTTTTAAAAATTTATATATCATTTTATTTTTTCCCCTA